ACGGGGTGGAAGGCAGAGGGTGAGTATTCTACTGCTGGAGACCAAATCAGACATGCAGAGACCTGGATTTTCTTCCTGGCCCTGTCATTAACCTGCAACACACCATCTGTTCCCTTTCCTTCCCCAAGATTTTCTCTGCACAGGAGCAGGGTATTCTCTGTTTGTATGGAGCTTAGCAAAATGATGCCCAGAACATCACCAGCAGCTCTCGGTGTACCGGCAGGCAATACCAATAACATAATACTGGTGTTTTCTCCCATCATTCAGCACATGTCCTGCTCGCTCTAGCCACGTGTCCTCCAGTGAACTGCCTTCTCCATCGGGCAGCACCTTTCCGTCCTTTGTGTGCTGGGGGAACTGAATGTCTCAAAGATGATAAAGCTGGCATTTCGCCTCTCTAACCAGAGCAGCCCATGATCAGACAAAACCCAAAGAAGAAACCCAGCCTCTCTGTATCTGTGAGGCTCCGAATCAGAAGACTCCTGGCCACAGGACCCTTCTGCTTTTTGGGACATACCATGTACAGGAGTGGGCATAGCAACATTTTGTGCTTTGAAAGAGGAAACAGCAGAAACCATTGACTTACCTTGTGGTATTAGCTGCTCCTCTGCACCTCTGTGTCCTTTAGGCTCTAGTTAAGATGGTCAGGGTTAAAAAAAAAAAAAAAAAAAAGGAAAAAGATATGAAAAATTAGTTCTCTTGCTGCCAACTGGCTCAGCCAGAGTATATATATTTTCTTACTACTCAGTAAAATGTATCCTGTTGATTAACAAGCTGATCAGAAAGGCCAGCGGTGCAGCTGTCTCAACAACTCTGATTGCTTCTAAATGATTGTCTATTCTCAGCCCTGTCACTCACAGAAGAAATAACTACCCTAATAAACAGTAGCAAGTTTTCCTGGACTTCAGCCTGGAGAGGTGTCAGCCAACCCAGAACTATAAGGTCATCCAGAAACACTCCGACCACTCAAAGCATCTAGTCCGTATCAACCATCTTTGTGTTAGGCACCAACATTCTGCCCTTAGTCCATCCAGCTGAGAAACTTGGTGACACGCAAGCTAGGATTTAGATTTGCTTTGGCTGAAAAACTAGAAGCAGGGCAATGTAGGCAATATTTCACAAAAAACTCTGGGGAAGGGGATGGGAGGGACAGAGGCTTAGCTTTCCACAACCCCAAACCACACAGGATGCTCAGGTATGACTTCCACCTACTCTAATATCACATTTATTGAAAGATCTCTTGAGGTCTGCAATCTCTGTAAGTGAACCTGGGGCCAGCTTTGAGCAACAAGTCACAGTACAGTGTTGAAATCATACATAAACGGGCAGCCCCCCACCATCCTAAACCAACCGGGTGAAATTCCCTACATTTCACCAAAATCCACAGTGTGTTTTTTTGGCTGGCTTTGAATTGTAGATAGAAACTGGGGTAGGCGGGGAAGGAAGCCAAATGTGGACCCAGATCCACGAAACATCCCCACAGCTCCTTAGCAAAGCAAGCGTCTGAAGCCCACAGAGCTCAGATGGGGGCTTGAGCAGGCCATCACATGTCAATAAGCAACTTAGCTGATTACTTCTAATTGCTGAAAGACACTGTCCTGACCTGAAACGGTCCAGTGCATGCCTGATTCCCAGTTATTATGCTAGAGTTGTTATTCCACACTAGGTTAAATAAATCAAGGCTAGAAAAATATAGGGTGAGAGTGAGCAAGGACTACACCTGGTAGCACGCAGGCAGGGCTGTAACACATGCAGCTGGCTGTGCGCACAACCTGGAAGTCTGGCTGACAAGACAGACTCACGTAAAGCTCAGACAACATGACCTGTTTTTTGGAGGTGATCACTAGCTACCTCCTGGATTTACTGCAGGGGTGGAGGGTGCTGATACTGGACCATGGAGTCAGCCTAATGCAAGTGCTACAGGAGATCCGTTCTGTTTTGCATCACTGCCTGGGTGAGTGGCATTTGCTGCTCCTTGCTGAGCAAGAGGAGATTATCATGTGTACAGAGCCTCCGAGAGGAAAGGACTTTGAGTGGAAGAGAGTGGAGAGTCGTCAGTACTTTTGCTGGATTAACTTTAGTACAATGAAGTGCAGGTGCAGAGATACTGCAACAGCAAAAATAAATGACATGGAGAAGGCAGAATGAGCATATAATGGACACTGGGGGAAACTGCTTTAATTCAGTTCCTGGCAGCCGTCACTGTGGTTCTGAAAATACTTTGCAGAACATATTGTTAGCGAACCTCCCTCCATGTTGTGGCATCCTGTCAAATTATAAACATGGACGACATCTGGCCTCTGTTGGTTGCTCCAAGTCTGCTGCATGAAGGGCTGCCATAATAAACTGCTCTGACCGGAAAAAAGAAAAAAAAAAAAAGAAAAGAAAAAAAGAAAAAGAAAAAAAAGAAAAAAAAAGCAAAGTAGGCCCTATAGAGGATAAAGAACTAAAGAACTGTTCTGGGAGCAAGCAAAGCAACTGACAGGGCTTTGGAAGCAGAGAGCTGGGATCTTGAAATGAGAATGCCAAGGTCAAGGAAATTCAATGCGTGGGGATCTGTCTAGCCAAGTGGGCTCAGAGGGAGATTTTCTTATAAGTGTATTTTTTTTTCATGCCACAAGAGGGATCATAAAACAGCCCATTGTGTTTATGGCAAATTTAAAAAATATAACGCAGAGTGCAACTGATGTTGCTATTCATGGGAAAGTTTTTTGTCCTAATAAAACAAAGAACTACCCCTACGCCAGTCCTCTACCTCCCCACACCGCTCCCAGATGGGGAAATACTGCATTCGGCGCTCAGTAGGTGAGTATGAATTGTCCCCCTATGATCCCGATGGCTCTCTGGAGTTTCCTCAGGAATGTTTCAACCGATCCAGGCCTCAAAATCCACAGTCTTTGGACTTAAAACATGTACACTGAAACACACAGGCAGGTACAGTGGCCCTACTGAGGTTAACAGAAATCTAAATTTCCAGAGACCAGAATTCAGCTCTTAGTAGATGCTTGTGCCAACAGAAATCGAGGCTAGTGACAGGCCGCTAAGGCTGGCAAAATGGAGCTTAATATGTTAGTTTCTGAGCTTAGCTGCTTTCTTCCAGGAACATGCCCGCCCTGCGCTGGCTTAACTCAAGGAGATGCAGAGTCACAGAGAGAAAAGCTGAAAGTCCCTCTCTTTGCGAAGGGGTGATCCTCAGTTCTGCACAGGCAGTGGGAAGGGGCCCTGAGGAAATTGCATCCAGCTCCCTGCAGCTAAAAGGATGGTTTGAGGTGGGATTGGAGAGGATTGAATTCCTTCCTTGTCCATGAGTCCGCATGGGTGTTGGCGTGCGACCACCTCTGCGTTCACAACTCAGCAGGGAGGGAGACACGAGACAACATTAAACCCTTAGACTGAACAGCCCCTGGTTTGAAGGATTCCTGGCTCTAGAGCTAAATAATGCTGATTCTGACCCTAAAACAGAGGCTGAAAGCTCTCAAAATGCCTCTCCGCAGGGTGGTTTTCCTGCTGAGCACAATCCCATCTTACAGCGAGCGTTTGCAAAAACCAAAGCTATGGTGTCCCTGCTGAGGGTGCAAAGCAAAGTGCAGACACGGAGCCACTCATGCCAGCAAGGCTGCCTGCCCCGCGCTCATCAGGCAGCACCACACAGCCCAAGTGCGGCCACTCCCATCGACAGCTCCCTGCTGGATCAAACACATGGCAGCAAACGTGCCCACAAAAAAAGAGAGGAATTGTCCATCTGAAAATCTTAACCCTCTTCTCCTTTACAGGGCAGAGGGAAGGAGCTGCCAGCATTTCCCTCCAGCCCCTCTCCCCTGCAGCTTCCAATACTACAGTAGACTGATACGGCCTTCTTTTTAGATACCCTACAAGAATCGTGTACATAGGGTAGGAGATTTGGTGAAGAGCAGGTTATGCTTACCAACAGATCCCACTGTTTTCCTCAGGACAGTCCCGGGATTTAGCAGGGGAAAGGCATCTGGTAGCAAATCATCGTACCACGTGGCCGTCGTCCCAGTGATTGGCAGGTTGTTTTCCAACGGCGGGCTTCGCTCCGCAGCCTCGAGCAGAAGGATCTAGACAGGGGACACAGGGAAGGCAAACAAGGTCAGCGGGATGGTTTCATACATGGTCTCAATCCTGAGAGGTCTTGAAGCTCCTCTCCTTGCCAGCAGGAGCTGTGGATAACTCTGCATCACAGACCGCAGGCTTTTGGTGTTAAAGCTCTATTGGTTTTTTGGGCAGTGGCAGTAATTAGTGTAGCAAGCTGCTGTGTTAAGTTGCAAGAGGGTCCCGCACATGCCCTCCTTGGAGAGGGCTTCACTGCTTGCAGAGAGACTCAGCCTCACATGGGATTGTCTCCTTGGTGAGAGACATGAAACCAGGGACCAGAGCTTTCACTGCTAGGTTACGTGTTGAAATCCAGAGTCATCAGGCCAGAAATTACTGAAAGCTGGTACAAGGTGAAGGGCTGTGGGATGCCCAGGGTAGCAAACTGAGGTGCCTCAGGAAAAGTCTTGGTTGCAAGTCAAAGTACAAATGCTGACCAAATTAAAGAAGATGGAGAATATGGAGCTTTTAAAGAGCTGAAGTGCTTTAATTTTGGAGTGAATAAAAAAAAGTAGGCAATTTCCTCAAAGAGCTCTACTTAGAAGTAATAGGATATTATTAAAACTCACAACTGTTTCTACACCTTGTAAACACACTACCTTCAAATAAATCCACATCCCAATATGTGTCCCTGAGCTCTTTGGGCCATTTACAAGATAAGCTCCTTGGCAAAATGACCCCGTTTTCCCTGTGTGATTTAGACCACTGTTCATCAAGCTGTGCTCCCCTGGCCACTGGTGGCCCGTATGAAACTGGAAGTTAGTCTTTAACATGGCTGCAAAAAACCTAACCGCCCACAAGAAGTAGAGGGATGGAGGACCCAGGTGGACTCTGCCCACTGACAAACTCCATTAAAGTGAAGCCCAGGGTAACATTCATTGCACTTTATAATCAACATTTTTAATTAAAGTTTTCACAAAATTAGGATTTTAAGAAAAAAAAAAAAATCTATTTTAATCTAAATGCTTCATCCCCCTTGTCTTCCCAGCCACTAAGCGAGGGTGGCATAACAAAGTAGTCTACAGATTTCTTTTGAAAAAGCCCAACTACCCCTTCAATTACAAACCCACTGGGAGCACTGACTTGGAGTGCCAAGCCCACGTGCTCTGCTGCAAATGGATTTTACCCCAATTGCTAGAGAGAAGCTAAACAGAGGCCAGGGGCAACACCCACTTTCCCAGTGGGGCAGCCAAAGGGTCGGCAGCCCCTGCATTAGCCACGCCTGGGATGCAGCAGCAACCCTGCCGCTCACCTGGCAGCTGGATCGATCCCTGGCAAAGCTGCCTGCCTAGGATGGACGCAGGATGCCCATAAGGCAGGAGCAGGGCTGAGGTTTCCAGAACTAAGAGTTTTGATCCAAGCATCCAGCATCTCCAGCAAAGTCTGCTTTCTAAGCACAAAGCTACACGGGAAATTTGTTTGAGGAGTGCAACACTGTGGTTTATTACAGCACTGTCTCTTCCTGTTTGGAAACCACCTAAGCAAATACTGATTCAGGGATAAGGGAAATAAAAGAGAATATGGCTCAAACTTTCCACTAAATCCCTAGAAGTTTCAGCTTTTACATGCTGTGTTGTCTTTACATAATGAAGTCACACTGCAATTATAAATGAGAGTGACTTGGCTCCACTTGTTTGTTTTTAACTTGCAATTATTACAAGGTTTATCACTTATTTATTGCAAGGCATGGTGAGAGCCAGTATTGCAGCAGTGCCAGAAATGATGAACTTCCTGCAGAATGCACTGGCCTGACAGGGGTGAATCAGAAACTAATTAAACTGGGAGCTAGGTTAAGTGCAAGGGAACTGAACCTCAGCTGTTGCAAACAAGCAAAATTCTTCCTTTATTGCAAGGATCTTTATTCATGGATCCACAGTCTTGCTTTCTGAGTAATAAGAAAGCAAAAGGGAACCAGGTCACAATGCTTTTATTCAACAGGCTTCTCTGACGCCAGGCAAGGAAGGAATCGGTTCAGTCTGTCTCCCGCACTTCTGTGCTTCTGCCCAGTGATTTATTTGTCAGACTTTCAAGGGAATATGCTATCAGTTCAACAAACACTTAAGCACGTGCCTTACCATAATCGTGCTTAATTCCCACTGACACGGGACTCAAGTGTGCATTGAAGACCTTTTCTGAATCGCTTTATACTACTATATTACCCTCTTACTTCCCCAGCAAAACACCTGGATGTTGCTAAAGTGTACTCAGCAACAGAGGCAAAGCTAATCCTGGAGGTGGCAAATTAGAGGGGCTACAGCCAGGGCAGGGTTAGGATTCTCCTGCTGTGAGGAAGGGACCGACAAGGGCTGTCTTGGACGGTATTTTGCCGCAGCCCAGCAGTGCTGTGGGAAGAGGTGATATTAAATCAATAGCAGCAATGGTCAGAGACCAGCAAACTGCAGGGGTCCGGGGCCCTCCTGGGCGGCACGAGCGGCACTAGCACAGCTCTGCCGAAGGTTGCATCTGGAGTGGAACAGCTCCAAATAATTTTTATGGGTGATAATAAAAATATGTTACCACATAATCAACACAAAACAGTGGCAACGGTATCCTTTTCATTAAAACAACATGTTTTAAATGAGCGCTCTGCTGATAAATGCTGTAAAAGATTTAAAGGCATGCACAGAATAATCCAGTATGCTCTTTTACAAATTGACTATATATACTTAGCAGTCATTAAGGCTCAAACCATAGTAACAAGTTTATTTTCCCTGGGCACAAAATGATAGAGGTCAGGAAGTCTCCCGCCTTGAAATTGCTGAGAAATTCTAGTTTTTATGATTAGGACTGAAGAAGTGCCCAAAAGAAATAAAGTAGAAAGAAGAGAGGAGATCCACAGAGCCAAACTAAAGAAGGAAACGCACGAGGGATTTAGTCACATTCAAAAGCTCAAACTATACACAGTTTTTTCAACAAGGAATGTCCTCTCATGAGCTAGCACAGCACAGCACAAACGGGGTCCTTACGCATTATTGCAATAGCATTGGAGCCATTCATCTATTTTCTGTCACGTTCTGTTTTTCTTAAGGCTGCCATTGCTGTAGTCAAGGGACTCGAGGAGAATTCCCACTTTCATTAAACAAAAAAAGAAAGTTTCTAGCCCTCTGAGTAAACTGCTGGAAAATGATACCACAGAGGCTCACAGCCAGAAAGCAAATTAGCAAAATGTGCAATGTATTAAAGTCTCAGTATTAAAGTCTTGGTATTTTCTAGTCAATAAGGTCGAGATAGAGAGAGGGATAACACCAAATGAAGAAGAACGTGTGGTTTTGATTGGAAATCCTCATTGCAAGAAGTGCCCACCTCTCTTGCTATTACCACTTCCAATGCAAAAGTTATGCCTCCATGAAGAATGGAGGCAGAAAACATCCTAATGCCGCCATATAAATGAAATATGTCTTGATGCCATGGGTAATGTTAGTTACCCAACCAACCAGAGCAGGCACAGAGAACCAGCTGAAGGGCAGCTATGGTTGCTGCCTGTGGTGCCAGGAGGGCAGATCCCTGCAGAAGACACGAAGGCCTTTCCTCCCCAGGTTGCGCTGCATTGCACAAGGTGAAGGATGGCCTCAACTCTGCAGAACACTTGGGCTTTTGTCTTTTTGCATGCATGGGAGCAAAAAGTCAAAGCTGAGCCTAAATGGACATGCTGAACTGAAGCCTCTGGCAACAGAGGTCCCGCCGGCACGAGAGCTTGTCTCTGGTTTCCAGACCCCACCTCTCAGACGCAGCTGAACTGGGTCAGAAAGCTGGAAAGAACTGAAATGGGGTCGCGTCTCCTGCCAACACCGCAGCAGGAGACAGGCCCGACGTAGGAGACGGCGTGTGAACGCGAAGGGAACGCAGGAGGGATGATGCACTGCACTGGCCAAGGAGCTCGCAGGCCAGCACCAGAGGTTATTGCCAGCAAAACTCACCCCTGGGTCTTTCGAGTCCCGCAGAGCCACCAGGCTCACCTCTGTATAGGATCTGGTGCTTGCTCTTCCTCCATGCCTCAAAGCCTGGCTACTCACTGTGGGGCCCGCTCACGCGTAGGGCCCTCAGAAGGGACATTAGTGTTATGTGCCTGAAGCTCAGTCCCAGCTTACTCAACCCACCTCCCCCTTTTGTATTTGCCAGCATAAACTTTCTAAACTTCAGACACATACCACATTTCTTGCGTCAGATCAAAAGCTCAGGCCAGGGACAATGGAAATGGGAGGAAGGTTTTCATCTTCTTGAGATGTTCAGTGTCAGAGGACTTTTTTTGGCTTGTAGTGGCTTTCAAGAACCTTATTTTGGTTGTTCCCACACATCAAAAGAAGATTTCACAAACACAGCCTCCTCCCATCATCCGTCCTCCGCTTGCATGCTTACTCAACCCACCTCCCCCTTTTGTATTTGCCAGCATAAACTTTCTAAACTTCAGACACATACCACATTTCTTGCGTCAGATCAAAAGCTCAGGCCAGGGACAATGGAAATGGGAGGAAGGTTTCTTGAGACTTGAGATGTTCAGTGTCAGAGGACTTTTTTTGGCTTGTAGTGGCTTTCATATTTTGGTTGTTCCCACACATCAAAAGAAGATTTCACAAACACAGCCTCCTCCCATCATCCGTTCCGCTTGCATTTTTTGGCTTGTAGTGGCTTTCAAGAACCTTATTTTGGTTGTTCCCACACATCAAAAGAAGATTTCACAAACACAGCCTCCTCCCATCATCCGTCCTCCGCTTGCATTCCTGATGTCCTGTAACTAGTAGGTGCTAGAAACAAGGAAAGAACAGCCGGGCTTCCAAAGATTTCAAAATTGATACAACAGGGCTCAGAATGCTTTTTCTTTGGATAAAAATCCATGGAAATGCAGAGGGAATCATTTGACATAATCCAGATGGATATTATTAATTAATAAACAGGGGATATTTGGTCTCTTGAAGCACTGGCAGAATTAACTCCCCTCCATCCCTCTCTAAAGAGGAGGGAAAGAAAC